AAGAAAAAGAGGAAAAAGACCCAATAAAAAAAAAAAAAATACACCCCTAGACATTTTATAGTTTCTTATTTACAATCTTGTGGATTCTTATGCATCAGATTGTTGATATGAAAATGAGAGTTTCTTAAAGCAGATTTCATTTATTTTTACTTTAATCTGTCTAGTACATATTTCTTTTTCTCCTTCATACCAACATCTGTTATCCGTGTTCCAGCTGTTGTTACTGAAGGAAATATTAGGCAGATTAGGAAGTGTTATTTGTCTCAATCGAGCACCAAGGAAGAATTCTACATCAATTACAAGTATTTAGTTAACCGTTTACGTCAGGGAAGACTATGTACTGTCACTAGTGCTTCACCTTTCACTTTTAGGTGATTTTATTACACCTGCTTGTAAAGTCCGTATTTTCCAGTTATAGATTACCGGGTCAAAGTTAGATTTTCCGATAAACTACATTGCTTTAGTATGAAATTTTCTTTTTCTTCTTGTCGGTTTAATTTTCATCATTATCACTGTTTATTATAGGGTCATCAAATATTTTCTTAGTTTTACCCTTTTTTTGTACTTGATGTTATTGTTTTCATCTACTGATATTAACATCTATATTTTTTTTTATATATTATCTTGATTTCACTTGATTTAGATATTCTCAGTATTTATTATTGTATATTTTCCAAACATTCATTATCTCCAATTTTATACTCTGGACCCAGCATAAAAAATAAATGATAAGATAATCACAATATATAGTAAAGACAAAGAAGTTTTAAAGAATTATTTCCAAAATTATTAGTTAGATATTATCACTTTTGTTGTATTTATTAAACGAGCATATCATGGTAATTTTCTGTGAGACTCCGGGAGATGCTGGATAGGTTTAAAGTTCAGAAATTTGCTGTGAGTATGATGCGTTTGGTTCGCAATGCATTTCCAGGATGTAAATTAGTTTTCTTTCTTTTTTTTCTTTCTTTCTTTCTTTCTTCTTTTTTTCTTCTTTCTTTCTTTCTTCTTCTTTCTTCTTTCTTCTTTCTTCTTCTTCTTCTTCTTTTCCTGTAAATGGTGGAGTGCATTCGTAAGTGGTTGATTTATTTCCGGTTTTATGCCTTTATTTGAAACGGTTAGCAATAAAATAAAATAAAAATTATATACATATATATATTATTTTTTGTTCTTTTTTCTTTCTTTCAATCTTTCTATTTTCTTTGTTTTTTTCTTTTTTTTTCACTTTTTCTTTATGGAGCTTAGAAGAAAACGACGCCATTAATGGGAATTTCACTTTTAGCGGAAATTACCATTAAACACCACAAAGGCACGGGGTTTACGATTCACAAGAGATTCTAATGTGTTTGGTGTTTGTTGTTGTTCGTGTAACTTTTAGGTGCTAACCCTATATGTTATGTAAAAACAACTTTCGTGATGACGAGTTATATTTTTATGAAATTATTCTTTGAGACAAGATTTTAGAATTGCAAAAACTTGGAGGAGGGAAGTAAAGGTCCTTTTTGTCATTGTGCTAAGCATTTCTCTCTAACACCCTGGTGATGGGCATGGCTGTAGACGTCGTGGAAAGCCTACCCTCCGTGACGGGATTGGAGGGTACGCAGCAAATGCCCTGTGGTAAAGGCTGGATGATTGCCAGTAGTCACCAGAATGAGTGCCACATGGAGAATTCTGGCACCGTCATTGTAGGGTTAAGATTTTGTATAGGGGTCAGGGCATGTCAGATCGTGTGAAGAGGTTCAGGAGTCGGTTGGGCGTGAAGGCAAAATTTGCGTTGCGGTGGTTGATCTTTAACAATTGATAGAATTATCTTGTTTCACGTGTTCTCATTTAGATGTCTCTTTTCTGGTCGTTTCTCAGAGTCAGGTTGCGTTTGATTTTCTCCCCATTTCTCTAGACCATTGACAATAGTTATGTTAGGAGATTTTTCCTAGTCAGTGGAAAAAATAGTGACAAAAAATTTAAGCTTGGTGTTTTAGAGATTCTAGAGCAACAAAATTTCCTGCACCAAGCATTAAGTTGTGATTGATTGCAGCGAGTATTGCTGTCTTCAGTTCCTCTCATTAATGCTGTAATAGATATGGTAGGTGGTGTATTTGTCATTAAAACCTATTTCAGATTGATTGATTTCAAGAAAATGTATATAGATTTATAGAGAGATATACATGTTTATTTATTTACGAGATATTGATGTAAATCCAGACTTACCTGTTTTTGTTTATTTACTTATTTATATATTTATGGTAGAGATGGTGGCCGATAGTTATAACTGTACTACTACTACAGTATTTTATCATAATATATCTGTAATCGCAAAAGGGAGAAAGGTGCTCCAATTACCGTGCTAGAAATGGGGTCAAGTTTGGTGATAAATTTTGCCGGCTGAAATTAACCGTTCCAAACAATGACAGTCACATTTTCAAAATTAGAAAGGCACATAGTTCTGTGGGGCCTTTTATCCAGCGTCCACTGTTTTGTTTGTAGCAAGGAGCCAGCACCATAGGAATGGAACTCCCCATACTGTGATTGCAGAGCTGGGGACAGTATCTCTTGACGGCAACTACGAAACAAGCCCTTAGAATAACATTAGCAAAGTTGTTGATCTTGCTAATTTGAATAATGATAATTTGTAAAGTGAATTGTTCCTTCCAATCACAAAAGCATGACTTTTGAATTACATAGTTATAAGAATAGTAAATAAGCATTGGTTATAACATCACTGTAAATCTGTACTATGATATTGCACTATTTCATAAAAGAAAGAATTTCGGGATGTATTATGGAAGGGGAATGTGACGTCAATTGTGATTAAGATGTAAAGGATATTAAAGAGACAAAGATATTGACAAGTTTTTTTTTACTTACAACTATTGAAAGAGTATGGTCAGGTTCTCTGGATGTATTACTTTGTAATTTTGAAATGAGACAGTTTGAATCTGTTCAGTAGTTTGTTCAAAAATGTTTGGCTTCTGATGCACTTTTGAAAGGGGAAATAGAAATTGTGGCATTGCAATAAGACCTTTAATTTGTTGTATAAATATTCAAGAAATGTACATGGTTGAGAACACAGTATGGATAGACACTAATGAACTGGTGACAATTATAGATTTCCTAAACCACTTAACATTAACATAGAGAATGAGAACGGGAGGCTGGATATGAGATGATGAGATCTTGATACGTATAGCGGGACATAAGGAGAGTCCTAGACAAATAAACCTCTATAAGGATACTTTACCTCCTTCCCACCCCTCCTTCCCCCTCCCCCCTTTTAACCCTTAAAAAAGGAACGAAAAAATTAGGAGAGAAATGTGGGAAGAAGTTAACACGCCCTCGACGTGCCAAGGGGCGGTGGGGAGGGGGAAGAGGAAGGTGGGAGAGGGAGAAGGGGAGGGAGAGGGAGAAGGGGAAGGAGAGGAGAAGGGGAAGGAGAGGGAGGTTATCCCATACGCCCTCGCTCCACGTGGCCCAAATTCGGCGTGCACGTGGCTTTGTAGGCCTTCCCTTGGAAATGGAGCTGCCTGGTGGAGTGGGTGGACTGGGGGTCGCGGAACAAGCACAGGTGGTTCTCGGGGCACGAGCAGGAGTAATAGCTCTCCAGGGTGTCGGCTCGGATGCGGCCGCACTCGTCGCCCGCTTTGCATTTGGGGAGCTGCAAGGGAGGAAGGGGGTGAGTGAGGCGCGTAGAAGTAGCGAGAGAGAGAGAGAGAGAGAGAGAGAGAGAGAGAGAGAGAGAGAGAGAGAGAGGAGAGAGAGAGAGAGAGAGAGAGAGAGAGAGAGAGAGAGAGAGAGAGAGAGAGAGAGAGAGAGAGAGAGAGAGAGAGAGAGAGAGAAGAGAGAGAGAGAGAGAAGAGAGAGACAGAGAGAGAGAGAGAGAGACGGCGACAGGAACAACGAAGGGAGGAATAAGAAGAGACACGAATATGGCGAAGGTCTTTTTCGCATTTTCAGGGCAAGCGAATAGGCCTCAGGCATACTTGTTGTCTTCCCTTCGTTGTGCTTGTTGCGATCTCTTCGACACGTTTGTGGGTGAGTGAGATTTTTTTTTTTTAAGCAGTCGTAATGTTGAGAGAGAAAAGCAAAATGAACTCTTAGGATACCATGCTGTGTGTGTGTCACGTTTGGCAGACTAGAAGAAAAACGTTTGGCAGACTAGTAGTAAAACGTTTGGCAGACTAGAAGAGAAACAGAAAAGCGAGCGCAGTCCCGAGGATTCAGCGCGGCCGCCGGGGGCTACTCGCCTCATCGCACGTGTACATGAAGATGGTCTCCGAGGGCGCCGGGATGCGGGTCTCGGCCAGCGTCCAGCGGTGCGGCCACGGGCATCGGCACTGCAGCTCGGAGTGGACGTCGGCGCCCTGGTTCACGCTGCTGGTGGACGGGAAGGGCTGGTCGTGCCGCTCCACCTGGCGCACCTTGAGGGCCAGCTCCCCCGCCTTGCAGTCCGAGAGCTCCTCCATCACGTTGCCGCAGAACTGGGCGCAGGGAGGGGGGGCGGGGGAGGAGAGAGAGAGAGGAAATGAGGATTATTTTTGGGGGGAGGAAATGCTCGTAATTGTTATTTATTATCATGCGTCAGATGCCATTGCTTAGGCGGTGCTGTTGTGAGTACACAGTATGAGAATTCCTCATATTTTATTCCTTTCTTATCCCTTTTTTTATCTTTTTATTTTTTTCCTTTCACTTACATTTCCCTCCAGTATGATCATGACCCCATATTAGCTTTATCTCACAAGCCTCACCTGTTGACCGGACACCCAGTCATCCCCAGCCCACTGGACCTCACCTTGAGCTGCGCCCTGTTCGAGACGTGCTGGGAGTGCGTGTCGTTGAGGCCGTTGAAGTGCAGCGGGCACTCGGAGCGGTCGGGGCAGCGGCACAGGCGCTCGGTGATGGGCGTGAGCCAGAACCTCTTGTGGGCGAGGTTGCAGGCCTCTCCCGGGAAGGCGCACACGGGGAGGTCTCGCTCGCTCCGGCGCTGGAAGGGGGAAGGGGGTCAGGCAAGGTCATTGGAGGTTTGCTGGACTCACCGGAGGGCGGTTGGGTTTGTGATGTTACTTTTCTGATTTTTCTTAATTAGATTTGATACAAATTTCGAATGAAAATTTTGATGGGATGGAAACGAAGGGAAGAAAGATGGCAATTAAGAAGGCAAGATAGAAGGGCGTTTCCTCCGCGAGCTAAGGGGGCGCGGAGGCCCGGCCGACTCACCCCGTTGCCGTAGATGACGTAGGTGCCCTTGTAGAGCAGCGAGAGGTGCGACAGGAGCTCGCTGGCGCCGGGGTCCTCCTCGGCGGTGGGCGCGGCACAGCTGTTCACCACCGCCACCGTGATCAGCACGACGGCGAGGGTGACGAACACGCCCGCAGCCGCAGCCGCCACCCGCACGCTCTCCGCCACGCCCATCCTGCGGCCGCCGACGCTCGCCTCGCCTCACGGGGGCTGCTGGCGTTCGTTTATGGCGCCGTGGCAGAGGTCTTGCCTTCGGGAGTGGGGCCCTGTTTGTTTTCGCGAACCTTCGCCCCTCTGATCTCTCACGAGTCTATCTTTTTTCCTGTCTTGGGGGGAAGGAAACGGGGATCGCTCTGCCAGATCTTCTCCTGTCGTTGGCTGGAAACGGGAAGGTAGTTTTTTTTTTTTTTTAGGTTTCTTTCCACTTTTTTTGTTGTAAATACTCGTAAAATAAGACATTATCCCCATGCCCGCTCGCAACGGTAAATATACAATTTTCTCACGGGATTGCGACATGCGGGAAAAAACACACACGTTTGTTTACGTTCGTCGAGGAAGCCTCCCCGCCCCCGCCCCGCCCCCCCCAAGGAAGTGCATAGTAACGAGAAGCCCCCAGTGTAAACCGCCCTCGAGGGGGAACAGACGCAAGAGAGAGGAAACTCGAGCGGGACGTAAACTGTCGGAGATGGCAGCGAAAGCCCAAGGGGAGGGGAGAGGAGGGGGTGTTTTGTGGCTGTTTTACCCTGTTGCCTACAGCGCGGGGGTCGGCGGGGGGGGGGGGGGGGGATGACAAAAGAGGTTATTGGCACGGCGCTGGAGAGGGGACGCGAGTGTGGGGGGGGGGGGGGGAGGGTGTTGTAGGCCGGTGTTATAAAGTTTGTTTGTGTGTGTGTGTTTGTTTCGGTTGTGTAGGGTGGGTGATGGAGGTTGTTTTTTTTCTATTTTGGCTCGAGGCTCGTTTGTTTGTTTGTTTGTTGTGTATGTTTCCGGAGTGGTCAATCTATAGGTCGTTTTGTTATATTTTTTTTCCCACGGAATCCTCCAGACGAATTCCCCCCCCGCGTTGTGGGCTTCTCAGCCACCCCCCCCCCCCATTTCTCGCAGATCGACCTTGTTTGCTTACATTGACTCGCCTCTCGACGCAAGGGAGGGGGGGGGGGAGGGAGGGGGGGGAGGTAGGGAGGGTTGAAGAAGGGAAAGACCTTTTTTTTTTCGGGTCTTGTAGAACCACTGGTGTTTGGTGGGGAGGTGGGGGTGGGGGTGGGGTTAGAGGCTGGAGGTGGGAGGGGCGAGGGGGGGGTGAAGGGAGGGGGGAGAATGGAAGGGGTCGGTGGTAGGGGAGGAGGGAAGGGGCAAGGGGGGTGAAGGGAGGGGAGGGAAGGGACAGGGGTGGTGGTAGGGGGAGGGGGAAGGGACAAGGAGCAAAGGGGTTGATGGTAGGGGAGCGGAGGGGGCAAGGGGTGTTGAAAGTAGGGGAGGGACGGAAAGTTGTTGATGATAGATACACTGTTTGTTCGTCTGTTTGTGTACAGAAGGGGTGGTGGTGGATGAGGAGGAGGAAGAAGAAGGAGGAGGTGGAGGAGGAGAAGGAGGAGGAGGAGAAGGAGGAGGAGGAGGAGGAGGGAGGAAGGAGAGAGGGAGAAGGAGAGAGAGGAGAAGAGAAGGAAGAAGAAGAAGGAGAAGGAAGAAGAAGAAGGAGGAGAAGAAGAAAGAAGAAGGAGGAGAAGAAGAAGAAGAAGAAAGGAGGAGGAGGAGCAGGGAAAAAAAGACGGAAGGGAGGGGGTGATGTTCAGAGATAAGGCGGAAGAAGAGAAAGAGGAAGTGGCTATCAAAGAGCTGTTTGAGCGCTCTCGCTTGATCTCTCGTGAGTCTTTTTTCATTCACTATTCTCTCTCTCCTTCCCTTTTTTTTTGCCGGATCGATCTGTGGCGGTGGGAAAAAAATGTGACTTTTATGACTGACTGTGTGCGTGTGTTTGTTTGTTTTGGTGGTTGGTTCCTGTGTGTGTAATTTGCGTGCGTGCGAGCGTTGTGTGTGTTGTTGTGTGTGTGTGTGTGTGTCTGTATGTGAGGTGCGCATGTATGTATGTGTGTACATGTGTATGTGTTTCACTCGATGTCACTTTCTATTCTTTCAACGGTTTCCTTCGCCTCGCCCCTCTCGCGGCGTGCGTGCGAGAGAGCCAGCGAGTGTACTTCTAAGACGTAAGGACGATGGGTTGGGGAATGGGGAGTGAGGAGGGGGGGGGGTGAGAAGGAGAATAGGGAG